ATCTATTTCCAGAACTGGAATTCTCTAAAACTTTTCAAGATATGAATGTATTTCTTAATATTAGCCAGGCCTGTCTTTTGGTTTCCATATTACTAGGACAGGTTATAAAGACTCAGAGATTTGTGTAGAGTAGATTACTTGTGTGAGACAAGAAAATTACAAGGTGAGCATGGGAGATAAGTACTTTTCAGTGTGAAAACTGAATATTGAAAAATATGAGCTAGAGTTAGTGATGTTAACTTGTTACGGTTTAAAAAAAATATTGGCAGCAACTGAAAGGACCTCAGTCATGATTTTTTTAAAAATAATTCAGTAATAATAAATGGTTGTGACTAGGGTTTTCTTGCTCTGCTCCCCTCCTCATTATGGAGACACACTAGGGTTATTTACCAAGGCAGAGCCACATCCACCAACATGTTATTATAGAGTTAGACACTGGGGTTGGGCTTCAACCATTGCATTTATTCATTTATTAACATTTAGAAAATAAAACAAGATTAATTTGTTATTTAAATATTTGGGGGCAGATATTTGGGGGCAGATATCTAGCAGCACAACGGAGACACCAAGCTGCTTGATGTAGTCAAATGCCCCAGTGGTATAAAACCAGCATAGCCAGTTTTTTGCCATTCTGGTCATAAAGACAATCTTGACCATTCCAGGGACAAGAAGGGAGTAGGCTAGAGCAGTGTTTCTCAACCTTTTTTTATAAAGTACTCCTTTTTAAAAAATAATTACAAGTACCACCAGTACCTACAGTTTTCAGACACATTTTTTTTCTACCATTGCAACACATTTGTTTAAAACAACTTAATTGTAGCCAGGCGGGCAATGAAATTTTTGGGTGCAAAAAGTACAAAAATAATAAAATGTTGTAAAACTTAAAACACAAATTCAGTTTTCTCCACATTTCAGTTGTGTTGTCGTACCCCCCAGACTTATCTTGAGTACCCCTAAAGGTACTTGTACCACTGGTTGAGAAACACTGAGCTAGAGAACACGCCAGCAATCCTAAGGTAGGAGAATAGTGAGGAGGAGCCCATTCCAGCTGGCTTCAATTAGGTGAGGTGGCTTTTATCTTTCTATGACCCCTCTTACAGCATACCTTGGGCCAGATCCACAGCTGATGCAAACTAGTGTTAATGGAGCTACATCTATTTACACTATATGAAGATCTGGCCCAATGTCTACTGAGCCTGGAATGCTTTGCAGGTGGAAAAATGGATCCATACTGGTTTCTGAATGCAGGCTCACATTTTTGTTCCACTTTCCTTCTCAATTATTCATGGATAGAAAAAAAACACTTCAAAAACTTTCTGCATCTTCGGCAGATGCTAGTGAAATGAAAGAACATAACATCTGTTTTATTGTCCAGCTTCTTACCTCCAGATATGCATAAAAATTATGCATAAAATCATAATCAGTCTCCAGAACCAAGAGCACTCCGTTGAGTGAGATGACGCTTATCATGAATGACCTGAACAATGGATTCTGAAGTAATCTGCGTATATATTCACAAAATTCAGTGTCCTTTCTCCTAGCAAACAATTGAAGGGACAAAAAATTGGTAAATTCTAGGACCTTTAGGAGTTTGGCAAATGACAGGTGGATTCTCCTTCTCAACGACTTCAGAGAGCGCCAGGTCAGGCACAGGGTGGATTTATCCCTCTCCTCCTGCCTTTCAGACATCACCCTATACTGATTACAAAGGGAATTAGCAAAGAATACAGAGATGCTTGATCACTGCAAAATATACTAGTTAAAAATAGAAATTGCATGTCCAGTGTTAAGAGTTTATTTTTATTTTAATCCAGAATCACTGAGAAGCTTCAGAGTCTTTTTTCAGAAAGTTCCAAGACAACAAATTCCCATTCTTTTTCCAGGACACCCAGATCAGCAGATGCCCGGTTTTATTAGCAATCAATGTAAAGGCACTAGGGTAAACATTGATATTTAAATGCATGTTTACAAACAGCCTCCCTCATTAATATCTTACTGAAATAATCACAGAAGTTCAGTGAAATAAAAAAGCAAAAAACCTTTTCCTTCAGTTTAATAAAATAAATTCATCCCTTCATAGTGCAGAGTTACAGGGAGGATGAATCTGACATGTAGTTTCTTTGTAGATCAAAACTTAAAATACATACAGTATTTCCTCATTTAACACGGTAGATATGTTTCAGAAAATGATTGTGCTAAGTGAAAACGTGTTATGCGGGGTCAATTTTCCCATTGAAAATAATGGAAAAGGCGGGGGTTGCATTTCAAGCGCACATGTGCTCGCAGCTCCAGCCTGCACTGGTTAGCAGCGGGACATAAGGTTGGGGGAGGAAGGGGACTGGGTTATAGCAGGGAGGGGAGGTGTTTGGCTCTGGAGAAGGGAAGGGAAGGACAGGGGAGGGGCCTTGCAGCCGATGGCTGGGTTTCCCCAGCTGGCCGGTCACCAGCAGCTGCGCGGGGCTTCCTCTGCCTCCTTACAAAGCAGTGGAGGTTTGCCGCTCACAGCGCCGTTCCCCAGTGACCCCCTCTAGCCGGACACAAGGCATCTGGCCAGAGGGGGTCACCGGGGAATGGCACAGCAAGCAGCAAACCCCTGCCGCTTTGCAGGGAGGCAGGGGAAGCCCTGTGCAGCTGCCCACGGCTTCCTCGGCCTCCTTACAAAGCGGTGGAGGTTTGCCGCTCGCCGTGCAGTTCCCCGGTGACCCCCTCTGGCCGGACGCAAGGCATCTGGCCAGAAGAGGTCACCCGGCAGGGGAAGCCTCGTGTAGCTGCCAGCCACCAGCTGGCCCTAGGGGAAATCATGTTATTGTGGGGACGGGGTCGTGTTGTTTGAAAAATGTTCCCTAAAAAAAAATCATGCTATTGCGAAAACGTGTTAAGCGGGCATGTGTTAAATGAGGAATTACTGTATTTAAAAGACCTTGATCAAGTACTTACCTACATCGCCAGAACAGCGACTGTTTCACTTCAGCATCAGATGAGGACTTAAATTTTTCAACCACCAAGTCTGACACAAGTCGTCTCTGATGAAAAGATTCTGTAGGCTCCATACTCTCACTTTCAGATTATTTCATTTAAGAGATCTAGGTGGTCAAAATGTATTCCCTTAAGTAACCCAGAAAGCACAAGGCCAACCACAAGGAACGGAAATTCTCTATATAGAAAAGAATGGAATTTTCTATTTGACATCATCACTTTATGAGGTCACTTCCAGGTATAAAAATGATATGTCAGCACTTGAAACAAAGTGCTGGACAAATGAAAACTTTTGTGAAGAGTCAATAAGGCAAGAAGACAAACATTCACTGTTGTGAAAATATAATACAACATTAAATTAACAGTGCCAAACACCTTAGGCACAAAATGGACAGGGGATTCTTTAAAAGTACATACAAAGCTAATATTGATAGAAATATTTTAATTCCATGTACATTTTTGTTCAATTTTAAAGATTTTCCTTAGGGCTAGATTAAGCTATGGGTACTATAACCCTATGACTAGGATTCTGGATCCTGGAGCCACATGATGATCACATCAGAACCACAGCTTTCACTAGGAAGTTGCTAGCCCTCATAGTTATGAAGAAAAGTTTGAAAAGTATGGCACAGATGTAACCAATTGAGAGATGTCTGCCTGAGTCTGCACATGGTCTGAAAGGTGTCAGTTTCCTCATGCGTCTCAGTATAATGTTAACTCCAAGATGTGCTGCTCTGTGAGATTCAGTCAACACCACCCCAACAGAGGACTGTGTGTGAGGCAGGTGAATAGTGCAGTGAATCTAGTCACCCATCCAAACAGATGAGATGTGTACATAGGGGAGGGTGCAGCTACGTCTGGATGGGAGAACACTGATGCTGCTCTATGGGAAAGATTGGGCCTTATGCTGCTGCCCCAGGCTCTCTGACAGAGGAGGAGCCCTCCTACCACCATGCTAGCACAGGGCAGGGATACAAGGACAGAGGTACAAGTTATACTGTGTCTGTGGCTCCAGAGTCCCTTAGTCCAGCCCTGTGTTTCTCTACTCTGCATTTCCAATTTAATCCTCATGTCCCCACATCAGTGCAGGAGGACCAGGGCAATAAAGTGATTAGAAATAAGCATGAAGTTAACTAGTCCTATTTCACTGCCTCACCTCAGAGAAAAGCAAACAGCCAGTATAAATAGAGGAAAGAAAACAAGGGTTTTAAAATTCTTTAAGCTTTAATAATCTAAAACAATGTGGGAGTGAGTCAGGCAAGCAATTTTGCTGTTTGTTCTAATTTATATGTCAGCCTGGCAAACATTCTTTTAAAAAACTGCAGACATGCATGGAATGAGGTGAAATAATATTCATTTTTACTATTTATTATTTGTGATGGGCCAAAGAAGTGGAAGAAAAACTTTTTTTATAGCTGGATGCTAGCCAGGTTCTCTCTACAAGACTTCCAGAAGCAAACTGTCGGAGGTGAGAGTTTTTAATTCAGGCATGAGACAAATAGTAAATGAAGATCTCTTTGTATACACTGAAGACCCCAATTCAACAATGCTGTAAAGAGCAGACCTAACTTGAAGCAGGAGTAATTCAACTAAAGCTTAAAATTAGGCCTGTGCTTGAGGGCCATATAATCGAACGGGGCCCAAGAGCATTCCACCAATCAAATGGCTCAGTTTGTTCAATTTTGCTTTATTGCAAAGTAAAGCAGCAGCCTCAATCTGAAAGCATTAGAAATGTGGTGAGAAATTATAACTCATTTTATATGCTTAAATTTTAAAAGGGCCATCTCCTCCCTTCCCGCCTCCCCCAGTCTAATTATATTTTCTTTAAAACAAAACAAAAAAAGGACAGAAGAGCAAGATGGAAGATGCTAATTTCGTAGTTGTTTCTGCAGCTCTTCCTGCAGCACCAGAAAGTGTGAATGGTATCTTCTCCCATTACTCACTTCCCTTGCCACATTCAACCCCTCTTCACACAGTAGAGAGGGTTTTAAATGTAGCAGAGATATTGCAAGGTCCATTGGCTAGAAACTGAAGCATTCAGACTAAAAATAAAGGTGCAGATTTTTCACAACAATTTATCTACGGATGTATCGGATTATAGGAATGTAAACAGGTAACTGGTTAACCTTACTAATAAACAGGTAACCAGTTAACTGATGATTACCCTGTCTGGAGCAGTCTCCAGCAGCCTAGCCAGATCCGCCACAACATGGCCTGGGCCGGCAGCATCACATGGCCAAGAGCTGGCAGCTGCAAGTCCTACAGGTCCAGGCGTCAGCATCTGAGCACTGCAGTTAACACATTCCTGACAGTGTTTTTTATTAATTACATGGCTAATATTATATTTGTGACTTCCCTAATGGATTCTGCCATTTGAAGCACTAAAAAATCCAGACTGAGTGACTTTCTAAGAGAGACTGTCTACCTCCATCAGAAGTTACAGACTTGAGGGGAAAAATCGTGTAAGAAAAATTCCTTGTCCTGTGCTATATAGGAGGTCAAACTAGCTGATCATAGTTGGCCTTATGCCTATGAATCTATACTCTGAATATATTCTGACTACTGTCTAATCTCAAAGGATCGTCTATCTAATCTCTTATCATCTGGAACAGATCCAGAGACTTAGGCATCACAGCACAACAGAAAGTGTTTCTCAGATCATGTCTGGAGAATGAAATGGTAATACAACAATATTTAATGAAAAGACCTTGATTCTCCTCTGATGTAAATCATCATTCAGAATTGAAGGAGTCACTTATTGGAAATAAACGTAGAAATTCTGTTTCTAGACTATCAGACTTCTGTGCTATTCTTTCAAAAATGGAGACAATTAAAAGAAATACCAAAAGAAAGAGCCGCCTAGGTTCTCTTCCACAACCGGTCCATCACAACTGAGTAATAAGGTAGGATTATGAACAGTCTGGTTTTCAGTAGACAGCTGGACATGCTTTACTGGCGAATGGATTTACTTCCTGCTTCATCTGGCAAAATTCAATTATTGTATCCTTTCACTTCTTTTTTTTCCCCCCTTCTCCTGTTTTGCCTCTGCAGTTCTACAGGAATTTTCAGGAAAAAGTTAGTTTTCTTTTCATACATATTCTGTGATGAGAAGAATGTCTTTAGCTCTGTCCATTCTCTGATTATAATCACATGACTGCTCAAAGTGGGAACAGACACACCAGCCACTGGGAAACAGTGAAATTTGGTGACCTTGGTGATATTAGCACTGTAATAGCATCACTCTAATAGCAGAAGCCAGCCATCCTGCCAGTGATTATAATCATTGCTTTAATTACCTCACTGAGACCCAGTATCCAATGTGGTTCTTGCACTTTTTGCTGAACAATCCACTGAGGACGCCTGCTTTTTGGGGAATTTGCTGAACTTGTTTTAGACTGTCTTGCGAAACTGGAGATCCCATTGGCAACTGGGAAGAGGTCTAAATTAATCCAGATGTAGGGAAGTTACCTTCAAGGATACAGCTGTTTAATGACAGATTATCCAAACACTCATCAGCACCACAATCAACCTGGAGACAAAAATCATTCCTATGAAACATAACCAAGTGGTTACTGGCCACGAACTGACCCTTGCAATGAGCAGGGAAACATTGCCAGTGTAAGGGAAAGGTGCACCATGTTGTGGTGGGATGCAATTCTGAAGGCTAAGCAGAGCAGTTACCAGTCAGTACTAGAATGTGAAAGCTACTAGAAAAAAATATTATTGGTATTTATGAATCAATAGGAAGTTTTGCCCTAATGTACCAGCCTGCTGTGATGGCGCATTATGGTGCTAGAGGTTTTGTTTTTCAGACAAGACTGGAAACTGAGGTTCTTGGTCATCAAAGACCCACTGGCATTTTTCACAAGAGAAGCATCAGCTCAAGAGTCCTTACAAAAATGCAATTTCAGTAATTAAATTCTTCCTATATACATTTCCAAGACAGTCTCAACTGAGCATAGTACCGTTCACTTCTTTGGTTACACTACTGTGTCTTTGGAGACACTATTATACAATCTCTAAACTCCAACAAAGGGGTCAATAGTGAATTATGTGATTGTTCTTTCAGCTTTTCAGTATCTAACAGAGTCTCTCAACATATAACAATAGTGCACACACTTATACGCAGGAACGTACTTGCACAAACTGCAAACTAGAACTAGATGGCTGATTTATGCTTCCTTAATCTTTCCCAGATATAGAAAGGGAAGCCAGAGGTTTTTCAGCATAGTTAGTAGAGAGCCAAGATTCCATTGCCACTTGCTTCACAGAAAGCAGCTAGTTTATTACAAAAGCTAATGATTGAGGGGTGGGGAAGTGTGATGGAAGTTCAACACAGTTTGGACACAATTCAAAAATGCTAAGAATTCTGTCAAAACCTAAAAACGGACTTTGGTAATGAAAGAAGGATCTGGTGTCTGTAGGGCAAATCAAAGCCCTAGAGAGCATCATTGCTTTTTCTGCTGAGGTGCTGCAGGTATGGTTGGAGTGCAGGAAATAGAAACAGCCAATAGCAGGTTAGCAAAAAATTCAAGAGGGACTGGAGGAAAGGAAATTGCCTCTGAGGCTAAGGTGAAATCCTGGCCCCGTTGAAGCCAATGGCAAAACTCCCATGTATTTAAAAGAAGCCAGGATTTTCCCCTTAGGTTTTGTCTCTGAAGTCAACAGTCTTTGAACAGGCATGAGCAAATTTTCATTACTATTTTCATTTAAAAAAATAACAAAGTTTAGACAGCAATACTCACGGAGTGTACCTCACATCTCTTTGCAATAATCAGGAGAGGAAGATGAGGCAGCTGCTAAGCAAATGTTATCCCAAAAAGTTATGCTGAAATACAAGTATTTCCAATGGACTGCTCACTTTTTCCTATTTATTTCGCTTAGTCTCTATTACTGATCAACGGACATGAAAAATAACAAGACTCTACAACCTGACATCACTAGAGAACACTGCTCTGAGCGAACTTGTGGGGATTTTTTTCCTAAGAGAATGTAAATAAATATTAATATTTTAAACGTAAGACCTCCCAGTAACTAGATATACGTTTTGTCAATGCCAAACAGCTTTGTCACGTGTACATGCATATAATGATTATACAGGAACAAAGTGAGGAGGAATTAAATTTTATTGTTCTTATCCAAAGCTTTTCCAAAATAGATCATTTCTAAAAAAAAAAAAGAATTGTTTTCAGAGCTTATTATAGAGGCACTGTCAAGCCTTCACTACTAGATTTATTAAACTTTGGGCAACACAAGACACCAGTTATATTTTTAATTAATTCCCTGCTGCAGTGATCACTTTAAAATCATGTCAAATAAATCCTTTTTCATACAAATTCAGAAAAATATTTTAAGGGATAGACATTTGAGAGCATAAAATCTAGACTGGTTTCCTTTAGTTTTAACTTGGTAGCCTACAGATGCTCATCTAGAAAACTGCTCATTTAAAAAACTTACCAATTAACAACTGTTGTCTAGAAGTGTATAATATGGCATTTCTTAATTATTTTACGCTTTATCTTTTACAAATTTATTGATGGGAATATTTGAATGGCAGCTACTGTACTTCATCCAAAAAGTAGAGCACAAACCTAACGTACAAAAAGACATCATTCAGTATAGACCTAGTTTCTTAGTAGTTAGCATAATTGTACCTCTGGTGTCACTACACATTTATAATGTGCCAATCAACCTGGTAGTGAAACACCAACATAATTATTAAAAAGACTTGATTGTGCATGTTGGGTACACTTAGTACTGCAGAGAGGGGTCTGTTTTTTTCATCTTTACTGCCACTGCTGTCTATGGGAATTTTGGCTTCAGTAAGAATGAAGACCACAGACTTTATAACCTTCAGATATTGTAAGAACTGGATTTTAAACTTAGCTGGTAGGATCTGAAGCTCTTAGAACAAAATTTACAAATTATTTTAACTGTTAGAAAATGGGTCACCAGATTAGCCCAGTGGTTCCCAACCACTGGTCTGTGGTCTGGAGGCAGGCCACAGCAACTCTAGGGGCTGGGGAACATCACCCAGCACCTCCCCTCCCACCACGGCTGTTGGGAGAGGTGTGTCCTCCCCGCTTCTCAGCCAACCAGCACCAGGCAGGGGCCAGATCTTCTCCCGGCCACGGAAGAGCAGTTCGCTGACAGTGGGAGTGCCACACGGAGCCCGGCACACTGCTGTGCCACACAGTAAAGCACTCTTCCAGAGCTGGGAGGAGACCCCGCCCCTGCCCGACACTGGTTGGCTGAGAGGCAAGACAGGACACACCTCTCCCAACAGCTGTGGCAGGAGGGGAGGCCCCCAGAGCTGTCATGATGCAGACAGCAGTGCTCAGGTAAGAGCTGGGAGGCAGTGCAGGGCAAGGTGAGCGGAGTGGGGCTAATGCTAGAGAGTTCTGGGATTGGAGGGCTCTAAGAGGCAGGGGGTAGCACTGGGGGGTTCTGGGAGTGGGGCTAGTAGTGGGGGGCTCTCAGAGCATTGTTGGCACTGGGGGGCTCCGGGGATGGGGCTAATATTGGGGACTGGCACTGGGGAGAGCTCTGGAAGGGTTGGGTGCAATGGGGCTCTGGAAAAAGGAGGCTGGCACTGGGGGGGTCTAGTGGTAGGGGGCTCTAAGGGACGGGGGCTGGCACTGAGGCATTTGGGGTGGAGGACTGGCACTGGGGGGGTTGGTGCAGGGGACTCGGGTCAGTGGCTGGCACTGGGAAGTAATGGAGGGCTGGGGAGCCCTCGAGATTAGGAAGCTCAGCTTCTGGCAAACTGGTACATTGCCAATCCGCCAAAAGTTTGTGAACAAGTTTGCCAGTCTCTGGTATCAAAAAGGTTGGGAACCGTGGGATTAACCCCCCTTATCAAGAGAAACCTGCTAACATTGCTTTCTTTACTGCTGGCAGCACTTATTGATGTGACAGAGGCCTGTCCACTCTTGCTTTTCCTACAGATGAACTTTAATAAAATATGAGAATGCTATTACAAAATAAGGACTCAATATCGAGTTCCCTGGTCCCAATTCATCAAAATATTTAAACACGTCACATAAGGACATAAGAATTTCCAGTCTTAAGTGCTTTGATGGATAAAGGCATCTTGCAGGATCAAGCCCTCAATATCCTGCTACTGGGAAGGTGACAGGTCTGAAAAGCACTTGCATACGAGAGTATAGAAAAACCTATGAAGTGTCCTGCCAGCTAGGATCAAGAACAAGGCATGTACACTTGGCAGTACCTCACTGCTATTACTCCCTGTAGGGCTGAAGGGTGACTCGGCTATGGGCTTGGAGAATACTTAACACTCTGGAAGGATTCCAGCAGTCATTCTGGCTTTTATCTATTGGGAAATAATGATGAATCATACTTCTGGTCTGGGTTTTTAATGTGAAAATATTATTTTAATTTCTAAGGAAGGATTGCTTAGAATTACTTTTGTTGCTTTGTCTGATGTATTGTATGCATGACTAGTAATGATAAATATAGGAATTTGGCAATTTTCTCAGACTAAAGAGTTGATAAAGTGTTAGGTTTTTTTTTTTTTTAATGCTGCTGCTGCTGCTAAACTAGTCTTATTACAAATCATTTTATAATACAAGGTCCAGCAGCAACTTAGAATGTGGGACATTTCACTGAATTAATGATAAAATTCAAATATAAAGCAGTCTGAAGGCCATGCTATTTTCAACATTCAGTTACTACACAGAAGCAGCAGCCTTGTCAATAAACTGAGCCAGCTTCACATCTCTTTTGGTCAGTCCTCCACAATCATGGGAAATAAGAGTTATCTGAACCTATAAGCAAAACAAAAGGAAATGGATTACAATTCACATTCATAGCATTTCAATTAAGACAGACGAGAATTCAATTTGAAAAAAAAATCTGGGGAGGGTGCTATTTAATGATTTTTTTAAAAACTCCTGCCTGCAGAATGAGAGTTGGGATCTTACTATTTTTCCAAATTGTAAGACACCATGGCTGTGTCTAGACTGCATCCCTTTTCCGTAAAAGGGATGCAAATTAGACACATCGCAATTGCAAATGAAGCGGGGATTTAAATCCCCCCCGCTTCATTTGCATAAACATGGCTGCCGCTTTTTTCCGGCTCGGAGCTTTGCCAGAAAAAAGCGCCAGTCTAGATGCGGATCTTTCGGAAAATAAAGCCTTTTCCGAAAGATCCCTTATTCCTCTTAAAATAAGGAATAAGGGATCTTTCGGAAAAGGCTTTATTTTCCGAAAGATCCGCATCTAGACTGGCGCTTTTTTCTGGCAAAGCTCCGAGCCGGAAAAAAGCGGCAGCCATGTTTATGCAAATGAAGCGGGGGGGATTTAAATCCCCGCTTCATTTGCAATTGCGATGTGTCTAATTTGCATCCCTTTTACGGAAAAGGGATGCAGTCTAGACACAGCCAGATGCAGTCTAGACATAGCCCCTATGAGTCAATTACAAGGTGAGCAGGCTCAGCAGAATCTGCAGACTAACCAAAAAGAGATGCTTCAGAGTAAAAAAGTAATTTACACTTCATGTATCTGGGTTTCATCCAAGAGGTAGCATCTGATTAAAATTACTCATTCTTCACATTTAAATTCCACATATTAGTTTCATGAAGAATTCAGGTCATTGACCAAGTTGCAAACACCAAACTAAGTAACTGGAGCATTATGTTAAAAATCAGTATCCTAAAGGTGAAGAAACTGGTGAACCCTTTGCAGATTAGTTTTGAAAGGAAAAAATAAACAGACTGATATACATGTCGCTATGATACTGGCTGCCTGCACGAGTTTGTTTAGACTTACCCAAATGACAAGCCACATGCTTCATTGTTAGTTGTTCCTGTTTAGCAGGGATTTACAAAAAAAGAAAATCTAAACACGCTGGGAAGTCAAGATTTTCTAGAGTGAGAGATAAGCATTTTGTTCAACCATCACTTAATGTGTCTCTAAGACACATTAATTAAGCCTCTAATTAAAATGTATTTAATTTTGCTTTACTGTTTAAAAAAGATTGAGACCATCCCAGTGCCAATTAATCCCATCTTAAAAAATACATGACACATTGTGTCAGTCAGAAATAAACATTGTGTTATGTGTATGCATCATCATTCTTCTGGTCTCTGGTTTTATTATAGGTATGTGTGGTATATATTTACCAGCGACAAAAGAAAAAGGAGAACATTAGAAAGCAAAACAAAAGTAATAATTTTGCTCTTGCAGTAGTGCCTTTCGTATGACGGTCACAATGCATCTAAATGGTCACTTGTTACGAAGTTACACTAGGATTCAGGAGTCAAGATTTTCAAAATATGTCTCTAAGGTAGCTTTTCAGCCTCCTGTGTAGGCACCATAACAAGTGGCTTGCTTCCAAAGTTCTGAGCTCCTATTAACTTCCACAGTCATCAAAGAAGCTGATGAGTGACTTTGAGAAAACCAGAGCATGTATTTAGATGACCTAACCATGGATTTAGAGGCCTAACTTTAGGCTTCAATTTTAGGAAATCTTGGCCAGAGAAGTTATATGATGTGTACTATACAAGTATAGAAGGTAAGAACAATTTGAGGTTTAAACACTTCCATGGTGTGTCCAATGCAACACGCATTACCATGATAACAACAGGAAGAAAGATCAGTCTAATCTAACATAAAAGAAACAAAAGCTTCAGAGGGGTAGCTGAGTTAGTCTGTAATAGGAAAAACTTAAAAAACAACAAATAGTCTAGTAGCACTTTAAAGACTAACAAAACATGTATATGGTATCATGAGCTTTTGTGGGCACAACCCAAACAGACAGACAAATGAATAAAATGCCCATCAGGAGGACTGGATGTTCTTTGCAAATACAGGCAGTCCCCGACTTACGAACGGGTTACGTTCCGAACACCAGGTCGTAACTCGATTTGGTTGTAAGTCGGAAATACCCTTAAAAGCACTGCCCACGCTGTTCAAAAAACTTGACGTACATGGTTCTCAACTCGAAAATACTATAATGGGGTTAATGGGAGGTTGGTCATAAGTATGGTCGTAAGTCGGTGTGTTCATAAGTCAGGGAGTGGCTGTATTCTTTTAAAATCCACAAAGATATAGACATAAGCAGGATCTGAAGGAGTGCTTTCATTATAGCTAGTTGGAAGAGACCCTGGGTGAATCTATGTAAATATAGTTTGCATCTGCTTTGCTGAGATTTGTGAAATAGGCACCAAATGGAGTGGTATTTTGCTCAGTGTAATACACTTACTTGTGACCCAACACCAGCTATGTTTGTATTGAATGCAGGGATAGCTAAAATATGGTTACCAATATTTGTAATTTTGTGGAAATACAGAAAAGTAGGATTCTGCTAAATTGTTCCAAGGGTAAGTGCTCACAGTTAGGAGAGAGAACCTTGCTAACTGAGCGCTATACAAAGAGATGATGTGAGAAAAGGTCATTCTGGTCAAGAGACTGCATACCCTCCCTTGCCTGGACCAGTTTGACCTTTCCCCCTCCCAACTTCAAAGAGCAGAACTAAATAGGCATTAAGAGCCTCTTTTCTTATGTTAATTTTGGTTGTGTTTTGTCTATCCTGCTTGCAAAGAGTGAAATCAAATGGGAGCTGAAATAATCTAAGAGTGATGGGCAGAAGTCACCATCAAGAGGTGGATGGCAGCAGATGGTGACTGACAGCCAGCAAGGCAGTGTCAGACTGACAGCCAGCAAGGCAGAGCAAGGCAATGATGCAACAAGTGGCCAGCAGGCCAGGGGTGGAGAGGTACAAGAAGCAGCAAGCAGAGCAGCAGTGGCGAACAGTGAGCAGATGGATGGCAAGTGACCAGTGGAGTGAATAAGATGCCTCTTTACCTCCCCCATCCAGGATGAGAGGTGAACTCTGCAGATGTACCTCTGAACTCTGGGTCTGCACTGACCAAGGTTAGCAACTATGAGTGGGATGCAGAGAAGGGTTGGACATGTGAAGGGGACATTTAGATTGCTGGACTTAAGAATCTGGGAGGAAAAGCACTCTGCCCAACCTACTTGGGGTGGGACTTTTACTCATGGTTTATGTTTATGAACCCTGTTTGTGGTGTTTTCCCAAATTAATTCCAAGTTACTTCCCTCCCTTTTCTTAAACTTTCTTTTCTACACTCAGACTGTGCTTGTGAGTGGAAAGTAGAGGCACCTAAGATTGGTGTGTGAATTTCCCAGCTTACTGGGCAGTGGCTCAAGCCAGTTCTATGTTGGATAGATGGAGAGAAACCCCTACGTATTCAACCCGGCCCTGGCTGTTGCTGGCTCCACCTGGCAGAAGAGTTACATGGGTAAAGTCATTCTCTCTTTTGATGTATAGAAGCTTCCTAATGTAAAAGGGAGTGATAGAAATTGATGTTCTATATATTGATATGGCCTAGTAATTGTTCATAAAAGTACCTAAAAAGTTACTCAACGTATTACCTTGTTGTACACATTGAACCACTCGGGATGATGATTCATCTTTTCTGCTTGCAGAGCAACTCGTGTCATAAATCCAAAAGCCTAGGAGAGAAATAACACAGAGAAATATTTCATCTGTTCGGAGCATGCATTAAGGCTAATGTTACGGATCTACGGATATAGTCCAAAAGCCCAGTGATGGGCAATGACAGGTATGGCCCTTATGTACTTGATAATTTTTGTACCCTTCTTTGAGTACTCTGAGTTCATCAGCTTTTGAAGCATTCCAACTTCCTTGGATTGCTTCTCCTATCTCCACTTTTCCCTTGCCAACGCAGCTTTCTGCAGCACTTGTTCCAGGGATAGACTCTCAGAGCTCATGTCTTTCTTTTTAGCTGGCTTCTATCTGCAATGGATTACAACTTCCCAGTGCAATAATGCTCCAAGTCATCACTCCCTCTAGCAAGCCTATGTTAAAAGCTGTCCTTGTCAACAAAGGCTAATGGAATGTTTGGGGACTGGGAGCTTTTAACTAACATAAATGACCACATGCTATATACTTAGCACAAGTCAATTAGAAATGCTCAGGATTTAAAATGTGGCACAAATCTCACCCCCCGCTCCCAAATTCTGAACTTCCCCTGGTGGCATTGATACACCCCAGCCTAAGTAATTTCCTAAACAATGGTAACTGGGCAGTTGTAATCCATTGGTCCTGCTGGGGAAATCTATATCCTGGCATGGCAAAAGAGAAGAACATATCCCAGAAAGGGAGGAAGATTCCCCAAAAAGTCCTAAGACTTGCAGGTTTGAGACTCAGGGATCAAAAGGTATTAATAATGTTTTGGAATCAATCTATATTAAAATTTCTTTAGTGGTACTGGTGTGCAATAATAGCAAAGCACTCCTTTGGATAGAGCTTTACAGGAAAAACTTCACTTTCTATCATATACTAAAACTATCCCGAAACAAGCTACACAGGTAAATACAAAATACAGCTGCCTCTATACTAGTGGATCCAGAAGGAACAGCTATGTTAGTCAGGAATAACATCTCACCATGTTCCCGACCATCATAGCTATGCCAGCAGAAACTGGTAGCATAGACCTGGACTTAGTTTGAGGGTGGTCAAATGTAAGCTAATTAGCAGCATTAATAAATTGGGCTGACAGCTGAAAAGGGACAAATAAAACCTTTCAGTCACACAATTTGAGACTTCATCCCACATTTCCTCCACCAGCTATTTCACATAACACAAGTTAAACACTCTGCTATACTATCAATACACACAGTATTTTTCAGGAACAGAGTTCATTTCCAGTGACTTGCCCTGAATCTTAGGGTTTTGTTTTGTTTGGGGGTGGAGGGAGAGTGTGTCCATGTGAGTGTCTCTCCTTAATCAGAAAATACAGACCTCCCAGTCTCCCACAATACAGGTTTTAACCACAAGTTCAAGGAGAAAATATTGTGGGAGGTCCTTGCCAAAAATAATTGAATCACTGTATTATAAAACTCTCCATGCAAATCCAGAACTCACTCTACAATAGGACCCATGTATGCAAGCCCCTATGTCTGCCTAAAGCCCAGGGGAATTCAATGAGTTCTGCACAAATGTAGGGGCCCATCCAGAAAATCAGAGCCTAAATTAACACTGCTAAGCAAAAAAACCTACCCATGTACATGATCTGGTTCATATTAAAATACTTGCCATAAGTTAGTATCTTGACATAGACCTACCTGTTAAGGTCATTTTTAGCACTAATTTATAGACTCGTCTGTATATGGTCCATGCTCCATCAAGTAATGACTATTTCAAACAAACATGTGGTCAATAACTAACATAATAGTTGATAATAGTTTCAGTCTTTTTTCTCTCACAAATTACAAACATTTTAAGAAAAAGAGTCAGTGCCTAAATGAAGTATGACTTTGTAAGTCACTTTGCCAGTCAGATGAATGAAAATGTTACAATCAGAGCAAATTATTTCAATGAGGTTTGTCATTTGGAAATGACCAAACTATCAGGAATTAAAAAGCAATTTTTCCTTTCTAACTTCCCTTGAAACTCTAGTTTGATTTAATTTCACATGGAGCGAACAATTATGTTTCAAAAATTTCAAGAAATGCAACAAGATACTTTGAAGCATAAAACAGTAACTCATCACTAAATATTAGGGATAAGTTGGACATTATTAAAAGTTCCTAGATTTACATTTTATTTAAAGATTTTTAAAAATATTCATTGCCTTAACATCACTATTTATAAGGCCATGCCAAATTACACATAAAATTGCTCCCAAAGCGTAGGTTTAATCCCATGCTGAAGTCAGAAAAGCACCTAAAACTAGATTGCCTCTGTATCATCATGCAGCATAGGCAAAACTGGAAGGGATTCATGAAAAATATGACTAAGTCCACTGCCAGTTTTGATATCTGTGTACAAATATATGCACATGTGTATGCATGCATATGTATATATACACATCTATTTTTCAATGCATATTTTATTTTTATTATGTAACCATCACCATTTACTCTGAGTTCAAGTGGAAAACATATTAAAGAACTAATTAATCAGTGACCAATCATGATCATTAAAACTTTCATAGCCCATTCTCTGTGTCTTCCCCCCACCCTCTTGACCAGCAGTCTCCACCACTTAGCAGACTTTGAGGTACTCCCCACTGCTAAAAATGGAACATCATATTAAAGTTGTACTTCATCTTGATGATAGCCAAACTCAGATTTTCATCTACTACAAGAGGAATGAATTCCAAATCAATGAGCCCTCCACAGAGAATGTTTACTGTCCTTTTCTATGAATTCAACCCTGAGAACAGGTAGTAAGAGTATTCCACATATCTATTGTGGTTAATGCTTTTGGATGTGTCAGAGCTGAAAGGATCCCATAATCATGATTTTATACATATATCATAAGTGTGTGGGAGATTATATCTGCTTAAGGGTATGTACATACACTTGCGTATAACCTGCTTTACCCAAAGCAATCTTCTATGTTACACGTTAAATTACTTTTTCCTATTTTGATTATAGGATATTTAATTGTGCGCAAAAAGCACATATCTCACACTAAGAAAATGAGCAGCAGCTCAGCTGAGCAATTTCACCAGTGCAATCTTCAGTAAGCCCCTAAATACATCCTTTGCTAGTTATAAGAATTGGAACTCTATTGTTTATTAATCCCCTTTATGTTTGTAGGCCCATAACCTTCCTTTTACAAAATACAATTGGGTCTGGAAGGTAGTTAGGCTTGATTAGATACAAAAACACTATTACACAATCTGTTTGGACATTTCTTCACGTCTTGAAACATGATCGGTAATTTGGTCTAATTGGTGATCAAGGAAACTATCTTGTGATCAATTAAAGTAATTACTTGATTCCGGCAACATGACCAACCTTATTTTGAGCTGGAGTCTGCACTTCTTCAACTTTAATTAAAAATAATGAAAATTATTAAGCAGTCTGCAGTGCAAGACCATTGCCCAGCATGAATCACATGATGATAGAGACATTTGGCATTGGTGGGTACAGCTTACAAGGCAGCTAAAACCTTTCTGGTTGCAAGTGTTTTTGGTGAAGTATTTTATTTACATTAAGTCCCAACACAGACTTGACCTTAACACATTGTCTGTGACAGCTCTAACCGCTGATAACATCATGTTAAGATCTTAATTTGAAAATATATATATCCCATTCACAACACAGAACCTTAGCAGTATTTTAATGTTTTAAAAGCAGCAATTCCAAATAAAGGAAATACCATACCACCGGAGATCAACAGTCTTTCTATGCCTTGGTGCCCCATTCACAAGATAGGAATAAAATTGTCCTTCCCTAACTCACGGGGGCTACGTCTAGACTGGCATGATTTTGCGGAAATACTTTTAACGGAAAAGTTTTTCCGTTAAAAGTAGTTCTGCAAAAGAGCGTCTAGATTGGCAAGGATGCTTTTGCGCAAAAGCATCCGTGGCCGGTCTAGACGCAATTTTGCGCAAGAAAGCCCCGATCTCCATTTTAGCTATCGGGGCTTTTTTGTGCAAAACAATTCTTCCCTGTCTACACTGGTCCTCTTGCGCAAGTATTCTTGCGCAAGAGGACTTTTTCCCGAGCGGGAGCATGAAAGTATTTGCGCAAGAAGCACTGATTTTGTACATTACGAAATCAGTGCTCTTGCGTAAATTCAAGTGGACAGTGTAGACAGCTGGCAAGTTTTTGCGCAAAAGCAGCTGCTTTTGCACAAAATCTTGCCAGTTTAGATGCACCCAAGGGGTGTTGTGAAGATAAACACATTAAAAATTGTAACACAGCTACATTTCTACAAAAATTGTAAGATACTTAGGTATGAAGATAATAGGAGCCACAGGAATATGTTATATCAATTACTGTGTAATTTTAGTATATATTTAGATAATTTTTTACTAAAATAGAGTTTAGAAATACACGTTTCTACACATTTTGTCACACACTTTTTAACCTATGGAAAAATCTTCCAAGAGATAACGGAAGCAACACTTAAATGAGAGCAGAAATAACACTAGAAGTTTTACTGTCTGGAACAGTCCTGTTCTGTCAGAGCAATAGACTGAATGATCCATTTCTATCTTCTAGGAGTCATAAAAGGAAGAACTTGAAAACAAAACAAAACGAAAAAAGACAAACCAAAAAAAAAAAACCCCACAAATGAAGTTGCAGCAGTAACTCAGTTGCAATTTCTAAGACAGATGTTGCCAACATTTACATGTCTGTTTTGGGAAAATATTTCCTTGCTCATCTACTCATGAAAAAAGAAATTATATTGAAAAAGTGCTTTAAACTAGCTCAGCTATAGGGTACCTCTTCCTCAAGCTGTGCCCTGGAATGGCCCAACTGTACTTTTCAAATGACAGAACATGATGTCACAAAATATGGCTTCATGTAACTTGCTTCTCCTGAGAAAGGCAAAAACTGTACTATATGATTTGCTTTTATGAGTGAATGGAAAGATGAAATTCCTTCTCCCTCCTTGCATTATAGAGTACAGTATTTAACAGGTTTGGGAGGCTTGCAAAATCCCTCTGCCAATTTGCTATTCTTCTTTT